TGTGCAGACATTTCGAAAATTTTAATAGAAAATACAAGTTACCATAGACACAGGTTCTACACATAAGATGAGAGAAAGGACATAGATCGCATTTACTTCAAATTCGTAAAGTCTGAGATTGGCTCAAGTGTCTCATCTGCTTTGTTGGCTCTGCAGAAACTGCAGACAGCTGACAGTTTGTGCATGGCTGCGCTGTGTTGGGAAAACAAACTACTTGATTGCGAATGAAGAAAAAGTAGTATTTAACCGTCATTGATCTCGTTAAACCGCAACCATGGTTTTAGCAGATTTGGGGCGGAAGATTACTTCCGCATTGCGGTCCCTCAGCAATGCCACAGTTATCAATGAAGAGGCGAGTATCTTAGTAAACGCATCCGACTAACCTCCTAAATCTTCATCCAGTTGACATTGATATTTAGTATCCACCATAATGACGAGATAAATCTGAATAAATTCTGATCTAGGTTTTGGTACTTTACCCACTTCGTCTATTTCGTTGAAGCATGTCCACATTACTTTTGTTTTACACTTTGTGCTGGCCATACATATGGTACTTTTTGCCTTGTTTTGATTTCATGTTTTGAACAAACACATATTTACATTCAAGCGGGTGATTTTACCAACTCACTGGTCCATGCTATTTAATGAAAATTTTATCTTTTCTTCTTCAACAACAAATTTATCACGCTAACAATGCATAAATTGGTTTTTTGCTGATCGCCTTGTTCATTTTTTTCAAATTTGCATTCTATATGACAGGTTCTTAATGCTATGCTAAAGGAGATATGTTCAGCCCTGCTGGAAGCTGATGTAAACATCCGTCTTGTTAAAAAACTACGTGAGAATGTCAGGTCAGTTATTGACTTTGAGGAAATGGCAGGAGGGCTGAACAAGAGACGAATGATTCAAAGCGCCGTGTTCAAAGAACTTGTAAAAGTAAGTAATTGAGGAGAGGCTATGCTATGATTTCAAATCATTGTACACAGTGAATTTGTGGCAATCAAAGTGTGCCTTTTATTATTTTTACAAATTTCAGCTTGTTGACCCAGGAGTAAAAGCTCACCAACCAGTGAAAGGGAAACCAAATATCATAATGTTTGTGGGTTTGCAAGGTTCTGGTAAAACTACTACTTGTACAAAATTAGCCTACCATTACCTGAAGAAAAACTGGAAAGCTTGCCTAGTGTGTGCTGACACATTCCGTGCTGGTGCTTATGACCAGCTCAAACAGAATGCCACTAAAGCTAGAATTCCATTTTATGGAAGGTAATGTGATTAAATGTTAGGTTTGCTTAATCTATATATTGTGTAATTTATAATTAATAAATTTATCAATTAAATTTATCAGTTATACAGAAGTAGACCCTGTGGTCATTGCGCAAGATGGTGTTGACATGTTTAAAAAAGAAGGATTTGAAATTATTATTGTGGACACCAGTGGTAGACACAAACAAGAAGAATCTCTATTCGAGGAAATGTTGGCTGTTTCTAATGCTATTGTAAGGCTCACTTATTTTATCTGTTACTTGTTTTTTTGTGAGGTTACTTATTCTATATATACGTTGTACATGATACATTGTATTTCAGAGACCAGATAACATTATTTTTGTAATGGATGCCACTATTGGTCAAGCCTGTGAGGCACAGGCTAGGGCTTTTAAAGAAAAAGTTGATGTAGGTTCTGTTATCATCACAAAATTAGACGGCCATGCTAAGGGAGGTGGTGCGCTCAGCGCGTAAGTACCATATCACCTTCTAATCTATTCTCATGAGTAATAGCAGGGTTAGGTTCTCCTTATCATTCTATTTCAATTTTACAGAGTTGCTGCAACAAACAGTCCTGTGATTTTCATTGGTACTGGAGAACACATAGATGATCTGGAATCATTCAAAACAAAACCGTTTGTGAGCAAGTTGTTGGGTATGGGTGATATTGAAGGACTCATTGACAAAGTAAATGAGCTAAAGCTAGATGACAATGAAGAATTAATTGAGAAAATAAAGCATGGCCAGTTCACTTTACGTGACATGTATGAACAGTTCCAAAATATAATGAAAATGGGACCTTTTTCACAGATAATGGTATGTTTTTAAAGTCCTGAGAATCAAAGGCTATGTTTAAATTTAATCCTTCTGCAATCTCATTTAGATGGTTTCCGGGAAGCAACACTGATATGTATCTTAAATATTAAATATTCTCTTTTCAGGGTATGATTCCTGGCTTTAGTCAGGAAATATTATCTAAGGGTAGTGAACAAGAATCTATGGCTCGTCTCAAACGTCTGATGACAATTATGGATAGTATGAATGATGGAGGTAAGAGGTGAAGAGTGTAATGTTGTCCGCTCTAATCTATATCTGCTTTCAAAACCTAATTCAATTTCCTCTTTTACTGATCATTTCACAGAGTTAGACAACAGGGATGGAGCAAAACTTTTCAGCAAGCAGCAGGGACGAATTATTCGAGTAGCTCAAGGAGCTGGAGTAACAGAAAAAGAAGTAAAAGATCTAATATCTCAATACACGAAATTCGCTGCTGTTGTGAAGAGAATGGGAGGTATCAAAGGCCTCTTCAAAGGAGGGGACATGGCTAAAAATGTCAACCCTACTCAAATGGCCAAACTCAACCAACAAATGGCAAAGATGATGGATCCAAGAGTGTTGCAGCAGATGGGTAAGCTGTTTAATATTTCATTCACTCATCAGAATCAGACATCTAGACATGAATACATTTTCAAATCTTTGCTGTTATACAGGTGGTATGTCTGGACTACAGAATATGATGAGACAGTTACAACAAGGTGCTGCTGGTGGCTTAGGAAATTTAATGGGTGGATTTGGAGGTAAATCTTGAAACAGACTTCTAGCATACATTTGAAAATGATCCAACTTTCAGAGATAAAAACAAAGCTTTCAGGAAACTAAATAAACCTCTGCAAGACTATTAAATTTTAAGTTTTTACAAGTTTGTTGTTATTAAATTTTCTATGAACTACAGTATAAAATATGCAATGTGCTGATAGATGAAGGGACAAGAACATGTTTCTGACCTTTAACAGTAAACAGTAAAGCTAGTTTTGATCAGACTTCACCATATCCCTCAAGAAATACACTGATGACAAAAGAAGTGTGTGGTGGTGGGTTTGGAAAAAGATGAGGGTGCCGATTTGTTCTAACTCGCAGGCCTGGTGGAAATTTGAAAAATAAGTAAATAAATTCAGTATAGATTTAATAACGTTGATGCTGCTAGAACTCTGACGCATGGATTCATTGTTAACGCTAAGATCTATATTATTTTGTCATTCCATGGCAAAATGGACTTGCCAGCTGATACAATGATTATCATCATATTTTGTCATTTCTTGTATTTTGTACCTATCGTGTAACGAAGGTTCTTGGTGGGCATTGTTTACATCTCCATGATTTATGAGAGTGATGCACATATTATATGTTACAAGAATCTGTGTGAATTTTTGTGTTGTCGTTATGAGAAAAATATATATGTTGATTCTTAATTGTCTTTTAATCATTGTCATTTTGAAACTGTAAACTGGCAAAGAAATGTAAGGGTGAAGTACAATTGCCTCTATCTAATATGTGACAGATCCATGTACTTTTACTTCTCTCAAGCTTACCATCATAGACAGAAATCTTATCTCTTAACTGGCAATGTCAAGTACCGTTTTCTCAAGTTATGATTCATGAAGAGAAATCAGAAGCTCATGTAACTTAGATTTAACTTACAAGCTATTTAAAGCCCATTGAAATATAAGTTACTACCAACATTACGACCATTAGCTTGCAGATTTCCAAACTTCCAGCTACAGAACAGAAAACAACAAAATACAGTGACTTGCTGGATGATATAAGTTACATTTACTCAATACTCATTGAAGTTCAAGTGAAAAGGAGGTCAATATTGGTTTGCAAGATGTGTAACATGGATTCATGGATCAGAAATGGCAGAAATAAATTGATAATTGTTGAAAGAGTTAATTACAAATTATTACCAAGGAAAATTAATTGAGTTCCTTTGACTGATGTGAAATTCATCTGACGAAGAAAATGTGAGAGGAACTGAGCCAGCCACAATCGACGTATTGTTGACATCTGTCGTCATAGAAGGTAAGAATAGTAACAAGTATTGTTTAGAGGGCAACTTGTCAAAACCAAAATCCTAAGTCTAAGGCCATGCTATTCTCTGTCTTCCCTTCTTTGATGGAGAAATATCTTCCTCAGTCTGAAAACGAGAATAGCAATACCATTATATAAAGTTTAAAAGTTTCTGTTAAACGAACTACTTAAAAACCACCTGACCTCGGAATGGGCTCTTTTTAAGTCATTTTTTGCTGTTTCAACCATTTCATCCATACTTTTTCTGTGGCATCTTTCTAAATGGCTATTTACAACAATCTTGTCTAGGGTAGCATTGGTTGATGATGATGATGAAGAAGTCTTAGAAAATGATATCTTTCTATGCTGAACACTAGAAGAATCAATTGGTGGTTTAAGGCGATCCAAACCTCCTTTCGCTGGTGACTTCAATGACAGTTTTGTGTCTTGCACACTATTAAATCCATACTGCAAACAGCTGGAAAATAAAAGTATTAACATAAGATAGTACTTTACAAGGGACACGATAGGTGCATGTTGAATGTCAGATGTTGTACCTTTGATTCTGCTCATGTTTCTCCTTTCTCTTGGATGGTGCATTTTCTCTAAGGATCATTTTATTAATGAGATTTCCATGATGATTATTTGGAAAACACCGTTGAGGTAATGGCAAAAGATGTTTTATAAAAATCTGCGTCAGCTCATCCCTGCTTTTAATCTCCAATCCTTTGATTTTAAAACATCTCTGCAAAAAAAAGTCAGGTATTTCATTAAGAGTCATAACCTAAAAAAATGAAGGTCCTATATTTTTCCAGAGATAACTAGAATTGCTTTCAGGGCACAAAGACGTACTGTCTTAAGTTCTTTCAAGATGTCGTTTTGTGAAAGCAAACTTGGGCATAAATATCTAAATATGTTTTCTTGTGGTTCTGTAACGTTTTTGTTGGTTATGTTTTGGTTTGCCATGTTTTCGCAGCGACACAGCAGCAGCAATGTCCTCTCCAAAATGGCAACACCCCGGCACAAACCAGGGAAACTAGTTAACAGCATAATTTGAAAAGGGAACGATTTTTCTTCGACAAGAAGCACCCTAGACCCTTCGACTCTCTCCTGTACTCTTACAAAGGTAAAGTTAATCTTACGTCAGATTTTTTTCTTTTTCTTTAGAAAGTTGGTGGTTCCGACTTTGTCATTCCCGCTTCTTTTCAAGTCTTTGCGACTTCTCTCTGAAAATGTCCTTTCTCAAGCCACTCCCACTCACACAGGCTGCGGGTCTCGTGTGCTGTGTCCAACCTATCTCCACCCCATTATAGCCCTCCTTACTTATCCTCTTACCTTCTTTTGTTCAGATTAAGCCATGTCATTCTTCAGAAATATGTTTTTCAGAGATCAAATAAATATAAAACAGAATTAACAATTGCAAATTTATTGGTGGGGGCCATCAATGAACAAATATCATAAAAAGCTTCACAATTATAAAAGCTTCACAATTATCACGATATTGAAGTATTTAAGTATTTTCTTTATACACATTAAAATAAATATTTTAATATTTTACAATATTGCACTAAACTCTGTTTTTCTTGGTACATTTTTATCCTAATATCTCATAAGTATATATGGTTTCTTCCATACATAAAATTATGAAATTAAAAACTTTATGAAGGCTTTGCATGGAAGAACACATTTGTGAGGAAATGCACTTAAATGTACTACTACAGGGAATGCTGTTAGAAAGCACAGTACAGGGTAAAATATTGTACGAAAATACAGATGAAATACAAAAGTTAATGCGAATTTCATACCCAAAATAATATTTGGTTGGCAATCAGTCTTTTGAAGCCAAGTAACAGGTTTCCTTTCAGATCAATTAGAATTAGGGTACAGAATAAACAGCAGCCTTCACAGTACAACAAAATACATAGCGAGGTGTCATGAGTAAAGACATAGTCATGTTTTCTTTAGGAGGCAACTTGACAATTACATCTTTGACATAGAAAAACTCAATGAATTACCGCACATCAAGATGTGCAGAACAATCTTATACGGTGCACATATGTATCATATGCTATATCACTTGAACATTAGCAAGCACTTTAAGACTGAATTAAACATCTCAGTACTCGCAATAGAATATAAATTTAAACAATGATTAAAATAACACTGGTACATATCTCTTAAAAATGTACAAAATAAGCAATTTCATAGTGATCAATAAATGCATGTGGTACCCCTATCACTTTAATAATGCACAATTTGAAGAAAATTTAAAACATAACAATAAAACTGCACTTCAGACTTAAAAGAAGCACCTCTTTAAGAATTTTCCCCTAATCTAAATCAATACTTTGGTCATTGTTAAGAAAAGAACATTTTGAATGTCTTCAGTGAAAGACTTTAGCAGTGGATACCAAACACCTTTAGATAATAGCTTAAAATTTACATAGCTTTCAAAGGTGTGGTGCAAGAGGATGATGGACATGACAAATGCACACAAGACACTGCCAGCAGCACCAATGCATGTCCATTTTAAAGTAACTCTCTACTGTTCGACCTCTGTAACGATAATCAAAGCACTGTTTGACTTTGTGTTGTGTGCCACCTACTGATACAGTTTAAGATGCAAAATCTAAAGAAACAATTACCTTGATTATGTGTACCATCCCTTCCTCAATCACTACCTCCATGAGAATTGAAGGAACACATCTCCCTTTTCTTAGGTGGTACAAGATGTTCTGGTAACTCTGTTGGAATGTCATGACCATCTAGTTTCACATTAATAAGATGCATAGCAAGAGCAAATTCATCTGCATCCAGGAATCCATCCTTGTCTAAATCTGATAATTTCCATATCTTTCCCAGTACAGCATTTGGCAACTTTGACTTCACCATTTCCGCTTTCGCCACTGTAAGCAAAATTTCCATGAACCCAATTCAATTTTTAAACAACTGAAAGCATATAAAAATATAATATAAATAAAAAGCAGAACTTACTTGCACCAGTCACTTTTCCATCAACAGGTCCTAATGTATCAAAGATCGTATCATACTTAAGACGGTCTTTGTTAACAACCCATTCCATTTCTCCAGCACCTGCATCAACACCTTCACCTCTCTTGTATCCAAATGGACTGATTGTATCTTCAATATTTTTAAATGCTCCACCTGTCAAAAATAAATGTTATCAAAATTCCACAGTTAACAACTTAACCATTTCAGCAATAATAATGATAATAATTAAAGTGACCTTTAACTGTGCCTAGCTCAGTACCAGTAACCTCCTCTTCCTGAGGTATTTGAGCCATAAGGCGGGCAATGTCATCAGCCAACATCTTGTCGACAGTTTCTAGGAGTTTGGGTCTGATTGGATGAAACTTGGTAAAGTCATGGTGTGCAAGTTGTTCCTTTAAATGAGAAAGAACACAATAAAAAACACCATAAAAAAGGCCATTTATAATAATGAACATAGAATACAGACCTGCATTTTTTTAATGTCAGGGAAGTCACCAGGAGAAATTTGGTATTCTCGTTGAATTTGTTCATAAATATTGCCCAAATTTTTGATGAGTTCCTTCTTTTTGCTGTCCTTACCAAACATTGATGGCATATCCTTACGTAAAGCAGCAATAATGTAAGCATGGACCTATTGTAAAAAAAATGTACATCAAAATTGGGGAAATTTACTAGGAAAATTGATTGGTTGACAAATTATCCAACCATAGTCAACAAACCTTTGCTAATCTTGCTCTCTTGATCAAGTCATTTAATTTGCGCAAGGCAGCATTCCTAGGAAGAGACTGAAGATCACGGAATAAATCCTGTTCCTCATCCTCAAACAGTCTGAAAACATAACAACATTTTAAAACTTAGAACGAGATAGTATGTTTCAATTCAATTTGCTTGTTCTTTTCAAATCCATAGTAGGTCTTTGAAATTGACAGTAATCTCACCTTCTGTTCACATCATAACGAAGTGGTTGATCCCAAAATGATCCAATGTATACTCTTGCAACCTCTGGTGTTCCAAGAACCTTTCCTAAAGACCACATCAAGGCACCATAAACTCTCATAAGCTGCTGATGATCAATCATGTCAGCCTTGTTTAGCACAATACGGATCTTGTCATCGTGGCCTCTCAGAGCTTCTATTGATCTTCGGAATTCATCAGAGATGTCTAACTTATGTGCATCGAAAAGGAGAATGATGCGATCCACTCGCTCTGCGAACCACTCAAGAACACCAGTGAAATCATATCCACGATCTGTGCGCTGCTTCTCTCCTGACAAAATTCCAGGAGTGTCGACAATAGAGATCCCTTTCAAAACAGGCGAGTTGACAGAAGAACATTGGAATCTGTTGAGAAAGGCGTTCCCAAACTTGGACAAAGGCCGAAACTGCTTCTTGGGATCGACAACGAGGGCGTTTCCTGGTATGGTTCCCTCCTTCTCGTCGTGCATGACAGCAATGAACCGATCAGTGGTGGGCTCCGGTCCAATCCGTATGCCCGGGAAGTCTCGCTCCAGGAGGTATCTTATGAACGTTGTCTTACCCGTTGAGTACTGACCCACCAACAGTATCATGGGTTTGGCAGTGAAATCGGGATCATCCAACTGAGGCGAATGGAAGTCATGGAACTGATACTGCTCCTCCAGCGGCAGAAGTTTGGTCTTGTATATCCTCTGCAGTCCTTCCACCACACTCTCGAACACGTCTGGTGTTTTCTTGCTATCCTCTCTCCCCAGCCAACTGAACATTTTGACAGGTTTAAAGTAACTTTTTGGGGTCAAAGTTAGCGAGGCTTTACGCCTGACAGAAATGAATCACAACCCTCACGACGCCAACCAACAACAGCTGCGTGACTAGTACACCGCCACCGCCTCCACCCACTGACACTGCACTGACCGACCGACGGACTTCGACGTCGGCGGAATCGAGGCGTACCGTTTCCGCCGATGACGATCGACTTCCTGTGGCCGACGCGCGATGTGCTATGAAAACATGGTGCAGCCGCAACCAATATTGTGCAGGAAAAACAATCGATTTGACAGAGTGAGGCTATTATGTTGTTCCGAACGCTTCCATAATAAAAATAATAAAAACATAACGAACGCCAGTAATAACTGACACAGACTTTCGCCTCACGCAAGCTATAGAGTGACATACTGCACTGCACAGGTGCGCTATGCGCCCCCCCCTCTTTTTCCCCTCCCTCTGACACAGACACACACACACGGGCGATGAATGGCAGGATCTGACAGGGAAGCCACACCCATCAATGTAGTGCTACACCAAAGTCAAGGCCTCCGTCCACATGCCAATCAAGGCCGTGCAACGGGCACATGTGAACCGACCCTCAGCTGATTAGAACAAAAATCAACAGAAAAATCGCACGATGAGTAACTTTTAGTGCGTGAAGACTTATCAACCCCCCCCCCTCTTTCCCAAGCGTGTGACATGTTGAGTATTTGCACAATCGGAAAACTCCGAAATATAGCATTTGCTCCGTGCATGAGAAAGGCAACCCTTCTCTCATATATGCTTTGGGCCTAATATATGTATATATGAGTAGCAATGCCCCTTGCACTTTAGTAGTACAGTCGTTTGCTATACATCTTCCCCTATCTTGAGAAAGTGCAATAAGATAGGAGGGAAGCGGGGTCAGATAAGAGTCGTCCTTTCAATCACAGGCGAGGTTTTATGAGGGGGCGACCCCCCCCCCCCTCACTTCTCAATCAACTCAAAGGGAGGTAGGGAATTCACTTTACAAAACCCCTGTATCTAGGCAATCCAGCACAGCACCTCTGTTACTCATCAGATCTGTTCTGATACCTACTCAAACCTCAAACGGTATGGTAGCACGGACTTGCGCCCCCGCCGCCCCCCGCACCGCCCGCCGCTGGTTGCTGTTGCTGGCCCCCGGCGTGCGTAGGAACAAGGAGCAAACTGAGTGAATGAATAGGCAACTCAATGAACCCCAATTGTTTGATTGGACAGCGAGCACGCTGCCGGCACGCGCATTCGCGCAACCGTCGAGGAGATGCGATGGTTCTGGTTATACTACTAGGGTGCCCGAATGGCGCCAATGCACTTAAATGCGCATTACCTGCGTGGCAAGGGGCGTGTAAAAACTTGCATAAAAGGTAAAACGTTTCGAGCGCATCTGTCCTGTAGAGCCTTAAGCACAAATGTATACACGGGCATCTTTTCAAGGCCACATGTCAGAACACTTTGTCATTTGGTTACTCTTTGCCTGTGTTATGCATTTGTAGATGCATACATTAGCATGAACACATTTATACATGGATGGTACGTGTATATTTGGGGAGAGGGGGGGGGTGTACCTACCAGGTGGCTGACCCACGCCACGCACTTTCGTAGTTATGCTATACCGCATGTACGGGGTGCGAGCGGGTTTGCCTCGCTGCCCACAGCTCCTCATGGCCCCCCCGTGCGAGTAGGCAACCGGCCCGCACGTGTGCACGGGTGCGAGCGGGTTATCATCGCTGCCCACAGCTCCTCATGGCCCCGTGCGAGTAGGCAACCGACCGCACGCGTGCACGGGTGCGAGCGGGTTTGCCTATCATCGCTGCCCACAGCTCCTCATGGCCTCGTGCGAGTAGGCAACCGGCTCGCACGCGTGCATGCGGTACACTACT